TTTTTTTTACAAACTACAAAAATTAGAATACTTTTTAAATTTAGACTATAAGCATTAACACAATCAGATAATTATGAATATTGTACTATGTTGTTTGAGTATCGTAAGCAATGACTTTAAAGCATAGAGTTGTCAAAAGGATTTTATCATTTTTTGAGGCTGATGAGTTCCATGTTGAAAATTTTTGACACAAAGATTCAAAATGACATTGAATTGTTTAACAATCCAATCATTGGTCTTCATAATTTTGGAAAAGATATCAGACATGAAAGAAAAATTGTTTATATCTTGACTTTGTTACATGCATAATATTACTTTTTGTATGTATGTTCTTTCATTGTGATGAGGATACTATCACTTATCATATATTTATAAATGTTTTATTGACCAATAATATGAGATAAGATTGATATCTATTTTTCCCTTTCTTCTTTTTTTTAGTTTGACATTCAATGTGAACTGAGATTGGTCAAAATGAAGGAAAGAAATTAATCAAAATAACAAAAGTGTTGGATCTAAAAGGAAACCTCAATTTAGGGTTAAACTCCTAGAGATGAACATCATGATATATCAATAATGTGACAAAAATGAACATGTAAACAAAATTTGTGTGAAAATCAAAAGTGAAAATACTTTTTTAGTCAATATGATTCAATTTTTTGATGATAACATGATAATTTGTTTAATGATGAACCATGATGGCAAAACTATACAAATCAACAATAATTGTTGATGAATGTATAGATTTTGTTAAATCTTATTAAATAAGTTACATTAGATAAGTTTTCTTTTATAAACTTATTTTCATATATTCAACTATTGAGGTTTTTATTACAAGAATTCTATCTTATAGAATTGAAAGTATACATATGTTCAATTGATTCAAACATTAGAAAACTTATCTAATGTAACTTATTTAATAAGATTTAACAAAATCTAGTATTAACAAAATTTATACATTCATCAACAATTATTGGTGCTTTGTATAGCTTTGCCATCATGGTTCATCATTAAACAAATTATCATGTTATCATCAAAACATTGAATCATATTGACTAAAATGTTTGATTGATTTAAACAATAACTGAAATCAAATTTATATTTGAGAGAAATTAAGGTGATTTTTTTTAGAACGGAGTTCAAATAACTTGAAATATAGCTCTTAAATGAACTACTTGACTTGAAAATACGTAATAGATTATGTTTAGATAGAGTACATAAGCACAATAATCCAAGCATAATGTAGTGCATTATTATCTATAATGAAGTCAACTTTTATTAGATCTTGAGTTGAGATATGTCATGTATAGCATAGGTTATGACACATGCATAAGAAATACATCATATTTTTAGTGCCAAAACCTCCATACTTGACTTGTGTAAAGTTTATTTAAAGTTTTGTTAACATTGAATTACGTGAGGTTAACTCATATTAAGAAGTAACTCGTCCTAGCTAAGCTTATCGAGAATGGGTTGCATATTCTAAGGTTAATTCATTATAGATTTCTTTTTGTATCACAACATAATTTTTAGTTTAAACATTTTCACGTGTGAGAACTCACTATTATGAATGTAGCTCTCAACAATATGTTTAATACTACATCATGTTGTCTTTGTGTACTTGTTGTGTTGATGTAATGTTTTTGTTTCCTTGCAAGTGTTTAGTGTGATTTTCAAAATATGTTTCATCGTGTGTGATTCCATAAGCATCCAAAATATGTTGAGCGATTATGATTGTTTCATACATTGTGGATCTCTTGCTTTCCATCAACTTACTCCAAATGGGATAATTCTAGCATTGTTTGAACACATCCAAGTTTTTGTTTCCATCCATATTCATGATGAATACTTGAAAATCACAAAACGTTTCAATGCACTCATGATTAATTTTTTCTCTTTCAAATCTCACACTCTCATTCTTGCAGTTAGAAGAGAATACACTTTTTGAAAATTTTGCAATTTTTTTTTACATTTCATAAAATTAAAGCATCTTGTTCTGAAAGCATTTAATCGCATGCAATATAGTATATAAATGATTTATACGTGAAATTAATACTCATTTCAAAGCAAAAGATTTACTTAATCTTTCAATTCTTGAGGTTATCTACTATTCGCTTCAATTACATCAAAAAAAATGGTTCCGGTTGAACTTCCATCTCTTACACTCTTTCTTATTCTAGTTTATCATTCTCTTATGCAAAGATCTTTAACTCTCATGTCTTGTTGCCTTGTGTATCCACATACTTTTGCTATTTTCAACTGTTTCATTTCAACCATGATTGCATTGAGAATGATGTCTTCATGCTTTTTTTCTTATATAGGTGTAATAACTATCCAACCTCTTAACAAAAATGTCATAATAAATTTGATGATTCTATAACAACTTTATTATACTCTTATTCATAATTTATCATAAGGTTATCTCTTTACATGATCTTTTGTTGATATATTTTTCTTGTCTCTAAATAAGTGCCGAGCCAAAAGTATGGTTTGCGATTCAAAAATCCATCAAAAATTTATTATAAAATGCATACGTATAATATTGAGTTTCTCATAACTAAAAATTGTAAACACCAAGGTATTCTCCACTTCATAACTCAAGTTATAAAATCTGCACTCCAATAAGTTTCACGGTATATCAAAATGATGATTTTAAGTCAATGAAGGTGAATATTAAGTAGATTTAGAATTGGTTATTATGATATTAGAGTTTGTAAAGCAATTCCATGTCTACAAAACCACAATTTTTTGTTTTTTCTCTTGTTTATATCATATCAATGAATTCTGCCAATTTCTACACACTTTCAAAACTACACTATCAATTTTCTTTTGCTAATCCATGAATTGTTTCATTCCACACTAAAAAACAAGATACAATAAATTTGCCTAACTAAAATTATTATCATAGTTAATCAGAAACACACCGTTGAATTTACAATGCCTAAATCTTGCTCACTCTCCCTACGCAACACGAGACTAAAGTGTCAAAACTCATTGTAAATTTGCCTCAAATCCCTTTGGATTACTCGAGCTCAATTTTCACCTGTTCAATGAGACAGAAAAAAAATCAAAAAGAATAAAGAAAGTACTGTGAAAATATAGATTAAACAAGAAAAAAATTTGTTAGTAAACTCTCACAAATCATGATCTCATACCATTTGTAAGTGATAAGCCAAAAAATAGTGACAGGTCATCAGCAGAGCAAGTAATCACGTAACAATAGTAGTAGTAGTAGTAAACACGAAACAAGATGTAACGTTGTTCACTCTTCTGAATACTAAGTCCACCGTAGGAAACCTCACGCGTGAGGGTAATTGTAAAAATGTTGGTGATACAGAAGTTCCTGGGCTAAAATACCCCGGCATAAGGGGTATTTCACCCCATCTAATTTTAGCTAGGATAGAGATATTACTAAACAAGAGTTAACTTAAACGCCTTTATTTAACTTTAGTCTGAACATGAATTCATACTTACAAATGAAACATTTGGGTTCAAAACCTAGAGAAATTTTTTTACTTCATTTCTAGATTTATTTAAGAATTAAACCTATCAAAATCCTTAACAATCTATACATTCCTTGATTAATCTCATATACATTAGGAATAAAATAAAACGTTATACTAAATATACAAGTTACATTATATCTAAGCAAATGTACAGATTTATAGATGATATAAACATATTGATAGTTCTTACTCTTGTTGATGGTTATATTTGAGTCAATGTCATTGTGAAGCACAAAGTTATTTTTAAATTTTATTTTTCAAAGAATATAATTATTTTATAGTAAAAGTTGATACGTTTTTTGGAAAATTGAAATGATTTTATAATATTCATATGATGAGACTAATACTATCAACATTTCTTCGATTCTAATTGTTTCAAACATATTATTGATCAAAAGATGAAACAGACTTCTTGACAAATCTAAACACTAGACATGAACATTATATAATAAAACATAAAGTGAAGGAATACTTGCAAATGATCTATTTTTATCATGTATTAATAATTTATTGTATAAACATGAATATCATCCCTTATAGAGTACTTTACACAGTAATCCATTTAATCCGAATGATATATATATATTATCCAAAAATATTTTCCGAGGAGGTTGTAACATATGCTTACTTCAAAAAATTCTGAACACAATGAAAACTAGAAGATAAAACAATGTTGCAAGACACACTTCAACTAAGATGAAGAGCAAGATCTTCTTAATAAGGATCAATAAACCTCAGGACAGGAAGTTACCTAAGACGAATTCAACCGTGCGACACTTGCGGATTTGCATGGGTTTGAGATAGCCTTAGCATATAAGTGGGTCCCAAAATCAACCCTCATAATGAGGGATGATTGTACTTGTACCGTTGTTGTGCTTTTGTTGTGCTTGCTTCTCCTCTCTTTCTTGAGACTCCACCTCTAGCTCCTGAAAAGACATTAATCCATTGGAAAAGTATAGTGTATAGAGTGGTCGTCGACTCTATATTCTCCCACATACTCTATATTCTTCCGCGAACGATAACCCTAAGGCCACATCTAAATGTAGCGTATACAAATATACAGGAAAAGCTTGATCACTCATTGATTAAAAAATAGCTTAGATATTTGTTCACCTTTTTACCACAACCTTTTCATAGCGTCTTCATCAACATCTCACTTGCAAGTTAGAGTTATCCTAGTAAAATTATGGTTTTGCTGAGCTTGTTTATAATATCACATTACTGGAAGTCATTGAGGAGTATTCATGTTAAGTTTTTTTTTAGATTGCTGCCAATTCAGATGATTAGGGAGTGATTTTTCTTAAATACACATATATTGGTTGAGTGCGTAGAATACTCTCAAATTCAAGCTAAAGATTATTGTAGTTAAAAACAACATGTTTGCAATTTGTGTAATTATTAGGTGAATTTTTCATGTCATTAATTCACTATGAGAGGATGCCATTTACTTCTTCATACTGTAAATTTTCTAGAACATGAGTAATGAAGAGAATCCGGGACAGAGACAGATATCTCAGATTTATTCCGTGCAGAGAATAGGAGTCAGAGATCTTAGCTTTACCACCATGTACCGTTTGTATAAAAGAAACGAAAGGCAAGGTATACGGCACGGTGGTGAGGGCTAGAGAATATATCCTAGTATAATAGAGAAAACGGCTACAGTAATGGCCAGCACCGAGATTCAATCTGCCTACAAGGTCTGGCAGTCCGTGGGTACCCAGCCGATCTGTAAATTATCTTCATCATAGAGCACTTGGAAATTCTGCTGCTGAACACTGCCGAAAATGCTCATTCCCTGAGACTCCTGCATCGCCAAGCACATGGCGGATTCAGTGTCGGTGAAATTTAAGAGAAGAACGATGTTCTGGAACGGCAGGTCGAAGTCCGCGCCATCAAATTTGAAGACGACGGTGGGAACATTCACGTACGAGAAAGCCGTAGTGTTGTAGCACACCTCGAGCCCCGTCAGGCTTAAGAGGTTGACTCGGGGGTACGTGGTGTCGATCTGCGACGTGAAGGTGTCGACGACGCTGCGATAGGCGACGGTGTTGAGGAGCGTGACCGTGGTACCGGAGTCGAAGATCACGCCGCCGTTGCCCTGGGTGTCGATGGCGAAGGCCGAGGCCGGGATGTTCAGCGCCGCGCCGCCAACCGAGATGTCAGTCAGGTTGACGTAGTAGAACGAGAGGACGCTGGGGTCGTACGGCGTCAGCTGGGGGGTGAACACGGTGAAGCTCACGTTCGTGGGCACGGCGCTCTCGCCGAAGAGCAGCGGGCTGCGGGCCGCGGCGGGGTCGTACCGCCCGAGCAGGCAGTAGGAGAATTTGTTAACGTTGTTGAGGAAGGGGGCGATCTGCGACGGGAACGAGATGGGCCCACGCGCCAGCCCGACTAACCCGTCCACTTCTAGGAATGAGCCGTTGTTCTGAAGCCCGCAGCCGAAATGAAAGCTGTCGATGGCCGTGGAGGTGCCGTTCGTGTTCTGCAGAGTGAGAGTGTCGAGGGAGAAATTTCCCTGGGTACTGGATAGATCTCCGTATTCGTACGTGTACTGGCAGTTGGGCGTGCAGGTGAGCTCGTTGCTGCCCAGGACATTGCACCCGTTGCATCCCAGCGGGCTGTAAGTGGAAGAGAGGGACGGGTCGAAGACCGCCGAAGCATTGATGCACACGGTGCACGCTTTGCACTCGAGCCAGACGAGGTCGCTGCCCGTGTCGGCGATGGCGATGAAATTCTGAGGTGGCGTGCCGAGAGAGATCTCCATGGAGTATGCGTTTGGCGTGGCTTCTATGTTCGTGGTGAAGTCCAGCATGCTCCTGCCCTTGTGCTTGTGGTACGGTGCATTCCTTGCCTTGCGATCCAAGGACTTGCCCCGGGCTATGCTCGCCTCCACGTCCCGGTGCACCAACTGTAATATTGTGAAATTTTCCGTCCCCGCGCTCCTGACTATCAGGCTCGCTCTCCATCCATTGCGCGATGATGCGGTCGCAGTTTCTCCCTTGGCGGTTTCTCCGAGATGTCGTCCCGCGTGCAGGTGCGAGCCCGTGGGGCGTTTCAAATGCGCCGTTACCCAGCCCGTTTGTTGATTATTGAGTGCTGCACATTGAACGGTCAGCAGCAGTACAATCGAAATAATCGCCTTCGAAGCCATATCCACCCACTTGAGCTTCAAACATATGCTACACAAGTTTTTTACCACTCGCCGAATGAAGAATTTCCAGATTTCAGATACAGAAATCAGAGGTCAGTCACAGGAAAACAAAACCTTCACCTCGATCTGTACAACCAACACAATTTTCGTATGGGAATCCTGACGAGAGGAAAATTTTTTTTGCAACAAAAAAGCTACAAACAAATATGCGAAGCAATATAAGAGGCTCCGCTTCAATTCTGCAGCAGGACTCAGTGATGACTAATTTTTATATCTGTGCAACCACACAAGTGGCTGTAAAGAATTTTCTTGGCGAGGAGATACACTGAGTCCACACTCTGCAAGCAGTGAGTGTGTGGGCATGAAAGCGAGTCTGAGACTTCTTATAGTCGGTGGAGTCTCGACGAAGAAGCCCGTGTCATGTGCCGGGAAGGTTGGGCCAGGTACGGGGGACGTCAGTCGCTTCCACAAGAAAGGGTCAGCAGACTAAGCAGCTGAATATCATAGGAATGTTACTGTGAAGTGAAGCACCATAGAATCCGGGGCCACCTGTCGATGTCCGTCTCCACTCTCCCCTAAGATGCCACCGTCCGTCGTGGCGGGTGCATTATGTCCAGATTCGGGCCTACTTTTGTCGAAGAAACTTCATTCCGTTTCGAGGTTCCTTCGGCATCTTCAATGTTCGACTATCTCCTATGCCGAAGGCCTCATTTCCAAAGGACGAAGGTTCTTTCCCGAAGGAACACCTTTCTTCAAAGGCTCAACATCCGTTTTTCCACTGATTCTTGTCTCCAATTCCGCATTCTCTGCGGAAAAGGGACGGCCTTCCAACACAACACCAATACTCTCCGAGTTGCTGTCAGTCGCCATTATGAAACGACGAGTTTTCACCTTCGTTAGGGCCCGTGCATTAGGCATTTTGAGCTTGTTGGTACCCGTCGATGATCATGTGCTTCAGACACTACGAACTCCCTAAGTTTTTGTGTCTTCTTTGGTCACTCTCCCCTTCTATCTCTGGATCCCTAAGTACTTCCTTGAGGCGAATCAATCTGCTCATTCTCTGAGTCGGTATCAAGCTCGTTGGCAATCTCTTCTTCTCTTGAGCGCAAGTTTGCAACGGAAATTGTTTCCTTCTCTGCCTCCGTTAACAGCCCCACACCCCTATAGAAAATGGAGACGGATAATTAGCCGACCCACCATGTGTTTCACCAATGTGTTGCAAAGTGACAACCCAGAATATCCACGCCCACGCAGTGCTCGTTCCACAAACTCAACCTGCCAAGTTGTCATGTATGTTGTCCGCGAAGGTCAAAGTATCTGCTTCAACACCATTGCTACATTCCTTCTAAGACGATCCTGGTACTCGGTAGTTTGAAATCCGTTCTTGCCAGTGCGCGGATTCTTGAATAAGGCAGAAAAAGTCTTCTCTTCAGCTCTCGTAAGGTCGCTGTGGTTACCTGCACAATACTCCAAGAACTTTGTCCAATCCCAAATTTTCCAAGTCTCAGTATGCCCTTAATAGCCCGGCGGTTTTTGAGTCTCATCCTCGTCCCACTGTCGTATCATCGCAGCACTGACCCAATTCCACCCCTGAGCAAGAATTCAAGCTTTGCTAAAATCAATTCATTTTGATATGCTCGCAATCCCGCCTCCGGCACTTTCAAAGGAGTCAATCGTATTGCATCAGGGCGTCGCATAGCTGCTTCTTTTGATTAGAGTTTCTGCACCGCCACCTTCCGCAATCCGCAATTCACAATAGTGTGATCTTAAAATGTGAACGCTAGACTCGCACCCTCTCAAGTGTAACTCGCCTCGTAACAACAGTCTCAACTTGTGCAAACTCACGGCGCCGTTGTTCTGCCTTCTTTTCGTACGATGGCCTCACAATTCTACTGAGGATTCTTTGGCTCAAGTTCTTTAGCGGTAACCCCGAAGTCCTCAACGCCAAATACCCTTTTCCAAAGGCTAACCTAGGTATTTAGAGAAGCTGGGTATTTGACCCTCTATTCCAAACGCACGGTCTCATTGGTATGTTCCTTCGGCTCTGGACTTCATTGGAACCTACATGACGCCCTCTACCTAAGTCGATCCTTTGTATTTACTACCTCTACTTAACAACTATATCCAAAAGTTTTGTTTTGTTTTCTCTCCTACTTAGAACTATCTCAAAAGCTAAAACTTCCAAGAATTCTACTTCCTAATTATCCTATTTATGAAAAAAACGAATAATATGTACTGCCACACAAACAACGGTAGTTATCGTTGATTTGTGCGACTCAAATGACTTGGCTAGTACGTTGAGAGTCGTCAACGTGGACGAGAGTTGCGCACGGGCAATTTGCGATAATATAATTTAAAATTGAGAGCTCAGTGATGATCATGAGTGGGAAATTGAAAGCGCAACAATGATGCAAGTTACATGACTTAGATGGAAGTCAATAATGGTGCCAAAATTTGGATTGAGGAAATTTTGAGAGCAATTGTTGGCAGTCTGACTTGATTTCTTGCTCTAGGGATGGAATTGGATTTTCACGGCGATTGTGAAGAAGTGAGGATTGAGCTCTAGAGTACGATAGAATTCGTGGGCATCTTGAGAGTTGGACGCTACAACAATAAGCTAGAGTCTTGAGACCTTGCGCAGTCAGCAAAGGATTTAATATTCGAGCAACATAAAGTCAAAGTGATCACGCAAGAAGATAATACATTTGGAGCTCTTATTTCAAAGCCTCGATCAATCAACAATGGATGGCAAACAACAAATTATAAGGAACCGTTGTGACGCAATATGGCTGTGACATACATGCAAATTTTGAGATCTTTGCGTATGACTTACATGATGTCTTGGCAGGTAGGATTTGTGGAGCGCGCAGTGATGGAGATGCAATTCATTGGGCTTGAATCTTGTCGAGTGTCAATGAAAAACATGTGAATGAAAGATTCGAGGTATGACAAATTTATTTGTACCCATTCTTCATCAATTTTTACCGGGACATGAGACTGATGAGTGATGAGGAGAGTAGGAAGCTTTTGTGAGAGAGAGATCATTGGCGAGGAGGAAGGAGACGCTCTTGAAGAGAATGAGGTGAACATCAAGGATGAAGATGCTAACGCTCTACGTTAGTCAATTGAAATTGATATCGTGAGAGACGACGAAGAAGACGAGCCTGCTGCAAAAAGACCAAGGAAAGTAGTGACGCCTTTGACGTCGGAGTATGTTGTCAGATGTAGAGGATGAAAAGACCTGCTCATGTGCGATGAAGGCCAACAAAAAAGCATGCTCGGAAGAAGATGAAGGCATGACGTAGTATGCAAGATGTACTAGATAGTGTAGAGTGCAATGAGGCAATGTAGCCACCTCAGATGTTTTTGGAACAAAAGATATGAACGGATAGTGTCAATTCGAGAGATGAGTGAACTTTGACCGATTTACCTATAGGTAAATCGAAGGAAGTATCTTCTTGAAGAATCGAAGAAGTAACTCTATAGGTAAATCGGTTTTTCGACTTCAATCTACTTCACAAGGGAGTGGATCTTTTAACTAATTCCGTTGTTTCATTTATGAATTCTTTAGATAAGAAAATCTCAAAAAACCTCGGACTAGTGTAACACTCGGGTTGAGAGAAAAAAATTCATTCAAAGATGAAAACGTAAACTCTGAAGATGAGAGATACCAACAATGGTTCTCCTAATCTTAAATAGTCCCTTTGCAACAAGTAAAAGAAAATAAAATCTTGTCCCCACCATCCATCCCACTCATAGTGGATGAATGACGTGGCGAATAATCATAACTAGCACACGGATCATTGACATGGCGCTATCAATTAACACACTAACTAACACACTCAATCGTTACTTAACAAGCACACGGATTGCTGACGTGACACTGTCAACTAACACATTTAATCTCTACCTACCAGGCACGCGGATCGTTGACATGACAGCTATGACTAGTGCGCTATAAGGTAGCTATACAAACATTTTGAGTAAACTCTTCTTTAGTTTTAATTAACAAAAGATGGTTACAACTAGTGTCTTCGGCGGTATTTTATGTGAAGTTAGTGCGCAGACGTATGAAAACGAAGGTGACAACGACTATTGGGATGAAAGAACGAGTTGCAAGCTTGACTTTTGAGTGTGAGACCATGACACTTACCTTGTAGGAGCAAGAAGAACATTTTTTGGGGGAAGGAGTTGGAATGTGAAGAGCTTCAATGGGAGTGAGCAGCTGAGCAGAACCTTCGTACGCAAAAGAAATTAGAGTGCAATAACCTTCAAATTAGGTCTCCTTAGTGCGGAAGGAGAATGAAGAACTTCAAGACAGATTGGAGTAGTCGCGAGCAATGTTTTAGAGAGACTTTCAGTGCGCAGGGGAGCTGATAGTGCATCTGGCGGCACGGGAGCGGTTTGTGGTTGCCAAATTAGCTTGTTGGAAGAATCAATTAGTCATTTGCGAGACGACACGATCTTTAGAGATGACGCGCAGCAAAGAGATGTATGTAGATCACAAACGGTTGCGGTCTCAACTCACGGCAGGTGAGAAACAGTTGGCTGCAACTCAGTCAAAATTGATGAAGAAGGAGTTGATTGTAAAAGATATTGAATGTTAGACATATGTTGATTTGCACGCTAGAGTGAAACGATGTCTTTGTGGTTATCTGGATTAGAATATTTAGACTACAAAGTGAATCAAATTAGATTGGTTGGAGAATAGATTGAGAGGAATGGAAGCCAGCAAAGTTGTAGGACATTGACAATCTATGTCTTCGTGTTATCAAATCTAAACCATTATTATATTACTAACCGCTTTTTACTTTTGGAAGGTGTTGTTGAAAAGCTTCATTGACTCGGGTTACGATCAGCATGAAGAAATTTCTCTTTCATGGTCTATTGGAATATGATGGAATGAGATGCCCCGTGAGTTCAAAGAACTGGTGACGAAAACTTTCACCGAGTGTTACAGCATTCTTTCTTCCATACGATCGTGGCCTACTTCTTGTGGGGTAAGCTCGCATGAATTTTCCTCGATATTCACTCGCTTTTGCCTGCAAGGTTACCACACAAAAACTACGCACCACTCCTCATGAAACTAGGATAAGGCACAAATTCCCTTGCAACAGCTGCGAGGTCATTGGGCTGAAGCAGTTGATCTGTCTACCGCAGGTCGATTGACTTCATTCTCTTAAAAATGAAGAAAACTTATGTCAGCGGTAGGATTCAGTATTGATGTCCTCATAGACTACATTTGAATTTCATAGAAAGGTGCCACCCACCAGTAAAACAGATGGGCTCGAATCTTTGAAGCCATTCTAATATTTAATTATTCTGATATTTAATGATCAACCACCTTAGTTCGACTTACTTAAGTGGTGTAATTAAACTCTAAGTCAAATGTGGAGCTTTTAAAACTAAGTCCTGCGTCGGAGAACCAAGCTGCAGCTCTTGCATGACAGGGATGACAGATCGAAGAGACTGACTTTGTGATTCTCCCATTTCAGACAGACAGAAAGTTCATCAAGGTCCCCGCATAGACAGGAGGGCAGATCCAGTGACATGGCTCCACATGACATATACACATCTAAGAGGAAATTTATTATTCTGACCACAAGCCGTGTTAGGGCCAAACCACACGAGGAACTCTATTCCGCACTTGAAGGCGGCCAATGGCAAACTGTTGTCAAGTTTTTTGGATTATCTGGACGTGTCCAGGTCCTGCATTTCAAGTTGAGGGCTTCACTCTCTGCTGGTACAAATGAAGGAATAAGAATTCTAGGTGTTGTCCTCTTTCCCGCAGGCACTTTTAAGCGATGCGAATCAGCATTAGCTTCAGCTTCGCCGCATAAGTAGTAGGGTGGTAGGGACTGATTCGGGGATGGGGGCAAAACACTGTCCACATCCTTCCTTGTCCAAGGAGATCGGAAATGGTGATGATGCTGCCTACACGAGAGCTTTTGTAGCTGATTCCCATCAAGGCCCCAAATCTTGCAGTTTGGTTCCTTCAACAATTTGCAACTGTTAAAAAAGTCCAGAGTATTACCTTCTCAACAAATTGACAGAAGTTGGAGTTTCTCCAAATAAATCTGACAATCTTTTCTGTAGAGCCTAGAGCTTTTGTCCTGATTCCCTAGACCCTAAACCTTAGGACCACCCAAAGTCCATAACGATTCCGACTAACTTCAATTCGTCAGGCCTCCTGGCTTTCCGAAGCAGAGTCGTGGAATGGACGAGCAGGAGAATTCGAATCTCTCCAGAACATTGAAAGAACGTTCCCCCTCGTCATCAAACACGGGATATTAGGGCGACTCGCCTACCTTCTTAAAAAGAAATCCTGCCATTTATTTTGAGACGAGAAAACATCCACAGACTATAAGAAGTCTCAGACTCGTTTTCATGCCCACACACTCACTGCTTGCAGGGTGTGGACTCCGTGTATCTCCTCGCCAAGAAAATTCTTTACAGCCACTTGTGTGGTTGCACAGATAGAAAAATTAGTCATCACTGAGTCCTGCTGCAGAAATGAAGCGGAGCTTCTTTCATTGCTTCGCAATTGTAGTTGTTTGTAGCTTTTTTATTGTAGAGAGTTTTTTCCTCTCGTCAGGATTCCCACACGAAGGCTGTGTTGGGTGTACAGATCGAGGTGAAAGTTTTGTTTTCCTGTGACTGACCTCTGATTTCTGTATTTGAAATCTGAAAATTCTTCATTCGGCAGTGGTAAAAAACTTGTGGAGCATATTTTGAAGCTCAAGTGGGTGGACATGGCTTCGAAGGTGATTCTTTCGATTGTATTGCTGCTTGCCGTTCAAGCATACTTCTGTGCAGCACTCAAGAATCAACGAACGGGCTGGGTAACTGCGCATTTGAAACGCCCCACGGGCTAGCACCTGCAAACGGGACGACATCTCGGAGAAACCCCCAAGGAAGAAATTGCGACCGCGCCATCGGGCAGTGGATGGAGAACGAGCCTTATAGTCACGAGGGAGGGGACGGAAAATTTCACAATATTACAGTTGTTGCATCGGGACGTGGAGGCGAGCATAGCCCGGGGCAATTACTTGGATCGCAAGGCAAGGAATGCGCCGTACTACAAGCACAAGGGCAGGAGCATGCTGGACTTCACCACGAACATAGAAGCCACGCCAGGCGAATACTCCATGGAGATCTCGCTCGGCACGCTGCCTCAGAAATTCGTCGCCATCGCCGACACGGGCAGCGACCTCGTCTGGCTCGAGTGCAAAGCGTGCACCGTGTGCATGAATGCTTCGGCGGTCTTCGACCCGTCCGTCCCTCTCTTCCACTTACAGCCAGCTGGGATGCAACGGGTGCAATGTCCTAGGCAGCAACGAGGTCACCTGCACGCCCAACTGCCAGTACACGTACGAATACGGCGATCTATCGATGACCCAGGGAGATTTCTCCCTCGACACTCTCACTCTGCAGAACACGAACGGCACCTCCACGGCCATCGACAGTTTCCAATTCAGCTGCGGGCTTCGGAACAACGTCACATTTCTAGGCGTGGACGGGTTAGTCGGGCTGGCGCGCGGGCCCATCTCGTTCCCGTCGCAGATCGCCCCCTTCCTCAACAACGTTAACAAATTCTCCTACTGCCTGCTCGCGCGCTACGACCCCGCTGCGGCCCGCGGCCCGCAGCCCGCTGCTCTTCGGCAAGAGCGCCGTGCCCACGAACGTGAGCTTCACCGTGTTCACCCCCCAGCTGACGCCGTACGAGCCCAGCGTCGTCCCGTTCTACTACGTCAACCTGACTGACATCTCGGTTGGCGGCGCGGCGCTGAACATCCCGGCCTCGGCCTTCGCCATCGACACCCAAGGCAACGGCGGCGTGATCTTCGACTCCGGTACCACGTACACGCTCCTCAACACCGTCGCCTATCGCAGCGTCGTCGACACCTTCACGTCGCAGATCGGCACCACGTACCCCCGAGTCAACCTATTAAGCCTGACGGGGCTCGAGGTGTGCTACAACACTACGGCTTTGTCGAACGTGTCTGCTCCCAACGTCGTCTTCAATTTTGATGGCGCGGATTTCGACCTGCCGTCCGAGAACATCGTCATTCTGTTCACGACCACTGGCACTGACACCGTCATGTGCTTGGCGTCATTGCAATCAATATCCCTGCATGTTGGTTTTGCAGCGATTTTAGTTCAAAATATGAGTTAAGGGAATAATTTTTTGTCGCTTACGCAAGTCAGTTTATCAATATAAATTGGTGAAATTATACCTATCACAAAGAAAAATGAGTTAAAATCTATTGGTGCGCTGAAACGCAGCGGAGCGGGCGGCCCCAAATGATGTTCATAGTAAACTCTAGCAGCGACCGAATCAGTTCTATAGGATTTTCTTTTAATTCTATAAGTTAATAATTATTTAGATCTCATCACTTTTCATCAACCATGAAAATATAAAACAAACCTTCACAAAAGGTTTTCAAAAAATCATTTTTACATTGCAAGAGTTTGAAGCGCTATGCAAATTGGTAATTGAATTTTATACACAAGTAAGTTTAGTGGTTTAAATCTTGGCTGTAAGACACACTCATGTTGATCATGTAATGATATTGTGTTAGAATGTATATTCCTATTTGGCTTTCTTATATCCTGAGTAAATATGTTATATATAGGGCCAAAGAGTCGATAAGAAAAGACATCGATGATGACATAGTGGTATCTGAATATCGTTAGTGGATTTCTGAGTGCCAAGCAACGAGTGCAAGTTCCACAAATAGCTTGATGGCTCTAGTGAGAAGGTATATGTACACCTTGAGAGGTACCGGGAGACAATCTAGGATGTGTTGTGAGATGCTCCATCTTGAATAGCGCAGTTGGTTCGACATGTTCAGTGAAAATTTGGCAATCATAGAGTGAAGCAAACGTTCAGAGTCAAGACAATGATTGTGGAAAGGTATGCTAATTGAGATGAACCGTTTGCGGCCAGATCACTACAGTGGCAGATAGTAACCACACGGTTCTATCGTGTTTGTTACATATTTCTAAAATGTCATATGCATTTGGTATTGCCATATCTTACACAGGGGCTTGGATGGACAGATGAATACAGTAAGGGCAAGTAAACAGGATTTCAATGATTGGAAGCTATGAATCATCTTGGCAAATGGATGGCCCCTTCGAGCCGTGGCTCACACACGATTGGGATTTGAAGCAGATACTTACAGACATGGGCCCGTACAAGCCATTTGAATCGGGGGATTACTCCAGCTTGCTCGACCTGTGTATAACTGGAGTCCACTATCGGAGCACTGCGCGTGCGTGCAGTCGATCATGTGCCTGCATGGGATACTGAAAACCTCTCCTGTGGACTTATCCATCAATCCGCTGATCTCAGAGTAGCCATACATTCTTGTCTCCAACTTCCGAATTGACGGAAGTCGCACGAAAGATTGTCACGTTCTATCTCGATTTAGCTAGCTCATGGTCTAGCGTCACAGATGAAAACTGAACAGTCGACTCCATGATCGAAGGGAAAGTACTTCCAGATCGACGGATTGCTTTTTTTCTGATTGTGATGACACTTTATGTCAGCATATCTCCAGTAGACTGCATTCTCAATAGTTCGACCAACACCAAATCCACGGAGAGCTTGGATTTTCCTGGAGATATTCTACACCTGTGATCCATATCTGAGCATTGCATCTCCTCCTTTCCATAATTCCGGTAGCTGAGAACTCGAATCGAATCCACACCGATATAATCTGATAAATGAGCTCCTCACAGGACTGGTGCAGGACTCCAGTTGGGCCAAATCGGAGTCAAAAGTCCTTGAAGACTATTGAGCAGTGAACTCATCCATGGAGGCAATGCACTGAAAGATCTAGTGAGATCCCACCGAGTGAACGAAGAGCCGTTTGCTACAAGGGTACACGTCGTGGTCTTTTGGGATGGAAGGAAAGTAAGAGCATTGGAAAAGCCCCAGATTGTGGACTTAGACTGGAGAGGAGGAAAGGGAGAACGAGCCCGCATGACTGCTTCTCGAGCTGATTTGCTGATGACAGGTATTTTGTTCTGAATATTTGTCCCTACAACTGCCACATACTTTTCCAATGAGCATGAGCCGGGCGTCTATGCCTGGGGCCCAGGCATCGACCCATCTCGTTCTTCCATGGGACTTTGACTTTGAAGAAGACGAAAAAGAAGAAGAAGAAGGAGGGTACTCCTCAATGTCACGACGTCAATCGGCTTGATGGGGAGATTTCAAAAGTCTTCGAAGGAGAAAAGCATGCTTCTGTATCAATTCAACTAACAGACGGGTGTCCCTTTGAGCGACTTCAAACTATTTGGCTTTCAATTGACCTTTCCGAAGATTGATCGTTCCGTGCAAGCCACCTTATTCGGTCTTCCTCGAACCTGCAAATTGTTTTGTATATATTAAAAGTATGGTCTTGAGAGCACTTTCAGTCGTTATCGATAATATGACCAAATGAGACCTCGACCGTCATATGTACACACTTCACCTGTCAGGATTGAAGCAATTTGCATATCCTGATACCCGAATGGACAGATGTCACATAAAACATCAGTCAATCCCGTGGCTGAGAAAAACATTCTTCAAGGTCAGGGAAATCAGTCCTTGCATGTGACAGATTACTTGGTTCAAGATAAACCAACACGTTCTATCAGTCTGCCTTCCATTAGCTCCTGACTCCTAAGTTTCAAGGGTTTAGTTGATGAGGAGAACTACGCGCAATTCTAAGATTATGGCTCAAGTAGTCAGAGATCAGATAGCGGACAGTAACTCCTATACTACAGACAGGAGCGCTGGTCGAGCACTTACATTGGACCCGGCACCAGAAAATTTGATGCTGAACCCCGCCCAAAACGTATCCAGTTCCGTGGAACGTGAACCACGTTGGATTTCACTTCAAAACATGTGCCGGAGACCACAAGAGAATTATTTGTTCTAATTACTTATGAGACTGAAAGAGGGACGGCAAGAGCCCCACTAGTGAAGATGGAACGACGAGAAAGAGGTCACAGAAAGGAGAAAACCGAAAGGATCAGCTTGACTGCCTCTCGAGCTGGTCCAGGAAGTAGGCTCCCCGACCGCCTCTCGCACTCAGTGGAGTAGACTCTGGAGTACCAAGTGTGAGACAAATCTCAGTTAGACCTCGACTCTTGTGCCTCGGACCCTCACCAGAATTGGTCAGAAGATTGACCGTGGGTCGACGGTTGGCCCAAAAAAGCTAAGCTAATGTTGGCTTTTCGTCGAACGACCCGTGGTGTCCTTCTGGCTCAAGTGATGCCCTCGAGTTTAGCATTCTGTCAGCGCCAGCGATGAAGGTAAGCAGAGCCCTGGACCCTGGACCCCTAGTTGGAATTATCCGGACCTCTCTTGAGTGGAAAGTGTAACTAAACCCTGAAGGTCGTTATATTTTGTCGACTTTCTTGGTTGAGAAAGCCAATTTCCCCGTGATGAGAATTGTCGCTAGTCAGGCAAAATGATTGCTGAAGAAATATTCCTCGGACACAGTAATTGGTGGGCTGAACTTTTTGGAACATTATAGTTAACGGTCCTTAAACCTTAAGAAAATGTCTAACTTACATGATTTTTGCATCCTTTATTGTGGACAGCTTTGTGATATGGCTTCATTGATTCAAGACATCGGTAGTTGAGTTCTAGTTCGCTGTCTCTCTTGGATGTGCATGCTAACTCCACCTTGCCGCCAGATCCACAGGTGCATCCATATCGCTGATGCTGCTTGGAGACAGGAATAGTATTCTTTCTGTCCCCATTTTGAGAGCCAATACATTTAAACCTTGTTTTGGGTATAAGACTATGGGTATACCACAGTACATATCCCACGTATAAGACTGTTTTTGCTCGAGGCACATTTTGTAGAGAAGCCAATGACAAAGACTCTGATTAGCCGATCTAAACTTCTGAACTGGAACCATTGTTGAATTAGGAGGCAGCGTTAGATTTGACCGAAGATATAACACTACAAGTCCGTACAAACCCAAGCAACCATCATCTATGGACCAGAGAAGTAGGGTCAAAGCGCAGGCCAGCCTTATATTTCAATAGCATGGACGATTTAAGAGGGGAATATACGCGACGGTATTCTGAGTTGCAGAAGCGTAGAACAGAATTCAATCAGAAAGTTCCATGAGTAAAGTGCTGCACATAGATAATTATGTATATTTCTCTGTAAACGTGATGGGTGAGAGTCTAACGTGGGTCAGGTCACTGGCAGAGTCGTACTTCACAGGATTTGGATTAGCAACGCAAGCGTCGAACTGAGTAAAGGACAAAAATGTCTTTGTAATCTGAAGAATTGAGAATTCATATCAGTAAAATTTCTTGGATCGTATTAGGATTTATAATCGTGATTATATCTTTTTTATTTAAATCAGTCAAACACGTTCCTCTTAATCTCTACAATTCATTAGCTTCCAACTGTACTGTATTTTAAGTACAAAAATGGCATACAAGCATATTCTGCTTTACTATCTTCAGAGAAAAATTGTTAAAGTTTAGATAAGGACACACATTTCTTCCGATATCAAATTTCTTATGGCTGAAAATTCAAAGCTCCCCTTTAAACAACAGTTTCACAATAATCACAAGTATTTGCAATGGAGAGGCGGCGAGATATACTGTCCATTCGTCTATTTCGTCCCTTGATGGAAGAGGTTTAGGAACCAGCCCTAAACCGCGTCAAGTTAGCGAACCAGTGAGGTTCCGAGACGCCGGAGGAAACCAACGGCCCACATCGGCGGCTGAGATCGACCGAACCCGTCCACGGAGACCAGGACCTCCAAAACTCTATCGTAGAGTTCCTGGATGTGAGTCAGAACGCGTCTTGCTCAGACTTAGTCTTATAAGGTCCGAGAATGTCCGAGTCCGGTGGAGGGAACAGTGCGGTCACCTCTAACCGTGGCCTGCGGATTAGATGCCGCAACGCAGCCACGGTCATCGTTGGAATGCTCCGTGGTTACATGCCCATTTTCCCCCACGCCATGACTGGAATATTACCCACGGACCGGTTCTCCGTCTCATATCACGTCCAAGATCGTCCAGTCCCGACAACGGTAATCGATTAGGACGCTGACTGCGCCGCGGATGTTCACCACGTGACGGAACGTGCGTGGTTTGTCCCCCTCCTCGTTGTGGAGGAAGTTGAGTCGGCCATGTGGGCACAGAAC